AGCTTCCAGCATTCGGTCTCAATCTTTTTGAAGGCAGGCTCTAACTTTTTTTTCAGGCTGAACACTCTGAAGTTGTTACCTGAGCACATCTGGGCCAGCAGTTCAGGGAATGCACAGATGCAGACCAGCAAGAAGTGATGGCAGAACAAGGAATATTAAGACTGAGCTACAGCTCACTTCAAAATGGTGTGTGTCAAACCAAGAGTTGGGAACTCAAGCAACTTGTTGCAGTGATTTACAGTCCACCTAGACAAAAAGCTCAAGGATTACTGCCAGATATACCGCTCTGAATTGACCCTGTAGGCACAGATTACTTGACCTAATAGGCTTCCTATAGGTAATTTCTGTGATTCATGATAGGTCAGTCAGAGACTATGATAGATTTTCTTACCAACAGGGCTTGTGTAGTTTTCTAGGGGAGGCTACACAAATGTTAACAGCATTTTGCAGGTAAGACATTCATAACAGCAGAAGCATGCAATATATAACCAGATGTGCATTTTACATCCCCTTATTCCTGAAGTTCATTAGTATCACAGATTCCATTTCATAACACAAGCTCAAATACAGCTGTATTTTGAATTTTAAAATCCCACTGAAGACAAGTAGATTCAATAACTTTTCTGTTTAATTAAAACAGTTCTTATTTAATAACATTACAATAAGTTACCTTTTGCAATGTGTAATATACTTCTTTCTGAGAACTCTTTTAATGGTACAGAATGATTTGTCTTGCAAAATTCATCACATATTAGTTCCAGTAATTTAATTCTGTAGTTAAGTGTTTTTGAGATCCTGCACCCACTTCTGCTTTCATTCATTGCTGCTTAATCCCACAAGTGCTAATATACAGTTAAGCCAGCACTGCAATAACTTCAGCTTGCTCTTTATATCTGAAATGGCTGCATTGCTTTAGGCAATAGACCACTGCATTCTATTTAGATTTCATATATTTTTATTCCTTTCTCTCCTTGTCTTGCTTTATAGTTTCATTCCCCAAATAATTAGCATGATGTAATGTGTCATACAGAATAACATCTGAAAGCTACAGACTAATTGCTACTGTTAAAACACCTTTATTTTTTGCCCTTTTCCTTCCTCTTCAGTTATTTATATACTTAAAGAAGAGTAAGCTCTGGCACTCACTACACACTGATAAGCAAAATTTATTTACCCTGAGGTACCCTTGCTTATTCTGTTTTGGGTGGTTTCTTTTGATTGCATTTTTCCACTAGCACTGAACTTGTTTTCTGGCTGCATATTTTCCCGTGGTACATTAAAGATGCAACTGCTATAATTATTATGATGCAAAACACAAGTTTATGTGAAAAGCATTTTGAAGAAAAAACATGCAGCAATTACATAGGAAGAATGACTTATTTAACTACTGTCTTTCCTCTCCTGGCATGAGCACTACAATGTTTTTATAGAATTTAAGGGCCATAATGATCATTTCACTGATACAAACAATAGATAGACATTTAACACAGACCTCATCTACATTAAACGTACTTCATGATTTAACAAAATATCCACAAGACTGCAATAACAAAGGCCAAATGTACTTCCCAGCTGATGAAAAGAGTGATTTGCTTCCAAGTCTTAAATTTTCTATTCAACGAGAGGTTCTCATTTTCCCTGAAAAATTGTCCAGAAGGGTAATTTGGACCACTGTGGGTACTGAAGGTCAACCCTCACTGGGAGGATGCACCAACAGGTACACGCACATGGCTCTTCCCAGCAGTTCTAAGTCCTCCCTGCATGCATTGCAAGCTCTTGGGTTTGGGCACTGCTGTTTACCATACTTAAATACATTTGTCCCAGCCCTGGAAAAGAATATCTAGGGCAGGATTTTTCTAGACATGCCTTCTTCCACAGCCACCATGCACTGTAGCCCAAAGTCACTTCGAGGGAAGCTTCCAAGTATGCCCAAATCCCTATGTAAATAAAGGGAGGCTTTCAGTTTAGGCACATAAACAACTCTGGGCCCGACTAATTTTAAGTCAGAAGGTATCTTCAAAGTAAAGTCTCCTCTTCTTAATTGGGAGTTCTATTAAGACTGGAACTGATCCCAGCAGCTCCTCTTGAAGCACACCAATAAATCCCTGACGCCCGTGGTCAGTCAATGACATTTTCTGCTCCTTTGGACAAAGACATATTGCTGTTTCGAGTTGAGAGCCACATGGCCATCAATCATTTGCTCAGGGGTGCTACCTCCGAGCTCCGCCTTGCCACATACGCTCTGCTAATAATTAAATCCCAGTCCATAACTCCCAGAGCAGCCACCAAGGTCTCCTCTGCAGAACACGCTCTTTTGCCATGCAACCAGGGAAGGAAATCATTCATGAGCAGAAGTGACACTTGTCAGATTGGTGCTGGCTTTTGATTAAGGAGCAGGACTCAGATGTCCATCTTCCACAACGCGCAGTGTTCAGTCTCATTAGGTAGGGTGTTGAGGATACTCATTACAGCAAAGGAAGCTCCTCATGCTTCCAAAAATACACCAACCTTAACTCAGTAAATCACAGATACTAATTACAGGAGAAAACTGTTAATGTGGCAAAAATGTCAGAATATCATTAATAGTGCTTAGGACAGTTCAATGTAGAGATGCTAGTCCATTGTCCCCAACACCACTGTGAGAGGTCCTGCATAAGCACACAGCATCCTTTCCCCAGGGACTGCCCTAGCTCAAAGACAACTGAAAGAATTCAGATGCACAAACTGCCTTTTTGTACAAGATGCAAGACAACAAAAAGATAATAGAGCATATCTGCAAGAAATGGCTGTAAGTGAATGGATGCAAACAATTCCCATTTATTTTTAAACCACTACCTCTCCAAAGCATCAGGTTTTCAGCTAGAAAGTTTTTAAAACTCATTGCAGCAGGATAAGAAATGTGACACATTTTCCTACATTTGCACTGAGATAGCCAGATGGCCAGTTTCCACCAGCAGACCAGAGGAATATGGTTGGACAAGGAAGAGCAAGGTGACAAGCAGCTAGAGAGAAGAGTTGCAGATGTTTGCAGGATACCCACCTGCCCTCACCCTCAGACTGGCATGATCACTAAAAGAAACATGCCAGGAAGCTGTCCAGTTGCATCAGAATCAGCAAAGTGAAGCCAATTTTGATGTTAGAGCACTGACACTTTGGCTGCAGCCAAGCTATAAAACATGACCCGAAAGTCTTGAGAGCAAACATCCAGAAGCATCCACAGGCAGATAGCACACTGCCTTTGCACTCAGGAAGCTTCCAGCTGCAGGTCTTTCCAACCTGTTGGTTGAGCATGGGCAAGCAAGGGTCTTGCCTTCTTTTTCTGCAAGATGAGATAACACCAGTGCTAATAGTCTAATGAGGTTTATGTGAAATGCCATGCAGACAAGGCTGACCTAGCTGCAGTTTGAGAAGAGGCTTGTTCAGTGCTAACCTGTATCTGCACCATGCAGATCATGCTCATTCACATCAGTGGAGTGGAAAGCTATCTGCATTTCCCAGGTGCAGCCTCTGACTTCAGTGACTCAGGTATATCTGTTAACTCCAGGCAGGTGATAAGCAGCCAAAAGTACATTTCTTGTGAATATTCAAGCAATTATGAGAAACTGGCAAAAACATTCTAAGACTGCAGAATACTGTTAACCTGTAAACACACGCTCTGAATTGACCATTTATTTGGACAACTCCTAGGATAATGCCATAGCCATTTAATGACACAGCTCCTTGACTGGTAGTGATTCCTACAGAATACAAAAGATCCATAATCCTGCAGCAGCAAATCTATCCTGTTCCTCTCAGCTGGACCCAGCTGTTGTGGCAAATGAGCTGCCAGGTTCTCATTTCTTTTTTGTTGAGCATTGGTCATGCATGACAGTACTTTAATATATACTTTATTTTAGCTCTTCAAATTCCTCTTCAGATTACTAAGTGAAACAAATGTATACAAAGGAATGATAGCCGCAGACTATTTAAGAAAAGGTATTTTATAACCATAACAGCTTTTGTGGTAATGCAGCCATAGAAGTGACTGAAATGGTCTGCCCAAACAGAAGGATCTAGCTCAGAATGGTCAATTTATCTGCAGTGCAAGGCACACAAAATGGAGACAGTGCAACAGAGAAAATCACAAGGCCAAAGTCCTTCAGGAATCAGGGCCTCCTTTCTACAGCAAGTGGAACTGTTTTCAACTAATGACAGAAAAGACAGCTCAGGAAATGAAAGATAACTCAAACATTGTCTCATTCTTGAAAAATATCCCAAATGTGCACTCCTCTCCCCACTACCACCATGAGGAATGTTTACTTTCAGGAACAAATTCATTAGCTACAATGGGGTTACTCATACGAGAAAGCAGCATTACACCAAGAAGGTGGTGCAGGCAAAGGAACTAACTGGTATGTACCAACCTTAGGGGATACAAAATCAAGACAGGATGATATAATGAGTTGTTTTTTTTTTTTTAATGTGTAGCTTGCTGTCACATTGTGAGACATAAATAATGTATCTTTCTCCCATAGTTGGTGGCTGGAAAAGAGTTTTGATTCTACACATACACCTCACAGATATGTGCAATGTATTTCCAGCTGCTGCAAGCAAGGCACTCAACTCACACCCAACAAGGCAGTCTTTGCTTGCTCCTGTTCCACCATGCAGGTGCTTGCTGCTCCCTGCTGGTACAGCTAGGACCCTGAGAGCAAGGATCGAGCCAGGATATGTTATGGACCAGTTATGCAAAGGATGTGTGGAATCAATGGCCAGTTTTGTCCACCAGTCATCTGCAGTTCTGAACTGCCCATGCCAGGAGATCAGTGCAGTCTTTGCACAGGTGTGACTGTCTACTTTTTCACTCCATAGCAGAAAGAAGATTTACACGGGATAGTTTCTACCATTAGAGTTACTGTGACACAGCAATTTCCCTGTTCAGCTGCCTTTTGCAGTAACAACATGTTGTTATATTGGCAACTGTTCAGTGCATTGGCAGCCTGTGAATTTGCGAAGCTTACCTTAACTTCCACATGTGCCATCAGGACTGCAAAGTTGGTTAGGTGATTGCAGGAGCATGTGGTGTGCGTCTTGTTAGTTGTCAGGAGGCGACATCCTTGGGTGGACCAATACCCTGTCATGGTACGCTTAGTATAGCTCCAGAATGAACAGTTTGGATTGAAATTTTCTTCTGACTGCTGCAGGGAAGCAATGAGCAAATGCAGTAAAATGATAGGGTTTCAGAGATTTCTAAACACATTACCTTTCCTTTTTTTTTTTTCCCCCCAGAGGCACTTTGTAACTCTTACTCTTTAATTTTAGATAAACAATCAACAATGACTTCGAAGTCGAGTATTACTTGTCAGCATCAGAGAAAGTTAGGTTGTTGCTGCTCTCATTGCTAATACAAACCTAGTTCTTTGTTCTTGATTAATTTCAGACATAGACTAAATTCAGCTCTTCAAAACCAGATTGCTTCATTTGCATTGCAGAGCGGAGAAATTAATTGCTTTAAGCAATCAACTTTAGCAATGACTGTGCTTGGCTAACAGGAGTGCTGGCTGTCCTTTTTCACTGTAATTCCACTTCCCTCTAATATCCCCTGCCACCATGATAAAATAATATTATGGCCCATTCTAATATATTGTTGGTTTTTAATTACAGAATGACGTATGTCAGCAACTGAGCAATGGACATCAGCTCAAAGGAGACTTTCTTTACTTTTATTAATGCAATACAAAAGAGATATTCCCCATAAACAACTCAAAGCGCAGAGGAACAAATGCGTAATTCAAAATCTAATCAAGGACTGCTGGGGGCCTCAGATCACCAAACTTTTGTGGCACTTTATAATAGAGACAGAATTTAAAGAAAAAAAAAAAGGTTTTCAAACTTGCTCACCTTAATATGCTTGACAGTAAAGACCACGGGATCAGCTAGGTAAACCTTATTGCTGAACTCTTTGTTTATTGCTGCCGTGATGACAGGGGAGTTGACGATGACGGAGTGATTAGTAGACATCGCTTCAGTTCCTAATTTCATGCTAGCATTCTCCGTGGAGAGATAGGTGCCCAAGTTGTTGTACAGCACGAAAGCTACCCTGATTTCACCTAGGAGAGCAGTGTGAAGTTAGACATCTAGCTCAGTGCACTGGCTTTCACTTTTGATGACAAATTTCTTCTCTGAATGAACTTAAATTTTTTGGGGGGGGAGAAAGCATGAATGAGTCAAGATGTGGCGTATGAAAAATTCACCTTCTCCTGCCTATACCAGTGAGCATCATGAAATACACTGACTGGTCCAAGGATGAAAAGGCAAGAGCTGCCACTGCAAAACAAACTCTTTTAAGCAAACACACTGGAGTAGACGGACAGCAAAGGTGAGCTTATTTTTGGAATCAGTAGAAAAACTGACTCCAGAGAAAAGAGGCCAGGCGACACATTTCCCACCTGACTTAACACTATTCTCCAGGCAACACTTGGGAAACATATTTCATTCTGGCCTGCCATAGAGTTGCAGTGTAAAACTATAATTTAGTCCAACACAACCCCCATTAATAAATCAGGACTACCTCAGAGAAGTGTGAGGTCAATTATGGGAGAGGAAATCCAAAACTTTCCAGTACAATTCCAATCTCATATGAAGAGCAAAACAAAAACAGCAGAAATTTGTCAATCATATAATCCTCTTTCCATAAGTACCCACCACTAGGGAACCTGCACTACACTACCAGTCAACTTTTTTTTTTGTTTTGTTTTGTTTTGTTTTTTTTAGCTGAGATCATCCTGTTCGCTTCCTGTTTTAATTCACAGACTTCAAATAAGAACCAAATGTGATTAGTTTGTCTTATAAATATTAGTTGTGGGGAATATTTATTGTTTCACTTCAGCTTCTGCAGAAGGTGAAGCACTGATGACTAAAAAGGTCCCTCCCAAGCTTAATTTTTCTACGATCATTTCTTTCATAGCTGTTTGGAAACCTCTAGGTGAATGCCAAGCTGATAAAAATTGATGGGGCTCTCTCAATTTGACCAGAACTCAAATGATATGCTTAGAAATAAAGACTTTTCCTTCCTTCTGCCAACACAATTCTCTTTCTCCACAAATCTTCTCCAAAGCTCACTGGTGAAATGCCTATCCCACTGGAATTTTGCTGCTCATCTTGGGTTTTACACCAACTCTAAAAGAAACTGTTCTTTAAACCCTGCATTTAAAAGTATCAAAACCCATCAAGGAAGCCAATGGCAAAGCTCTCTTTCTGAGCCACTGAATCAAATTTTTGTCTCAGCAATTGTCTGAAATTTTGGCAGTTTTAATGCATCTAGTTCGGCTGTAATGCTGTCCTATTACTCTGTGTAGTGATCAAACTCTGCAATAGAGTGCTTTTCCCCTACATACAGCTTAATCTTGAAAAAACACCATTGCAAAATACACACTCCTTCCTTGCAGAGCAGTAAAGTGACTGAATGAAGTATAAACTTTAAAGGAACTCATAAACAGGACCATGTCAGTCCCATCAGTAGAAAGCATGGCAGTTTAAAGTTGGCCTATAGCGAGGCTGGAGAGATCAACAAATGTATCTGCTCAAATTTCTGATCTGGAAATAAATAACCACACAGCTTGAAGACTATTCATACTCAGTATCATCTTAAATTTATGGTATATTAGTAGGTTCAAAACCTTCAGAGAGAAAGGCACTAAAGATGCAAACTCTTAACAGTTAATCAAGATTTTCTACCATGTTGACACATTATTAAGATTTGCTGCTATTGTTTCTTTCCTTTCCTTTCAGAAACCTGCACTGTGCCCAAGTGTGAAGCAGGTTACTCACACAAGGCTCTTATTCCATGGGAAGGAAGGCTTCCACGGCAAATAACAGTAGTTAAAAGTACTTCTCTGGATGCAGCACTGTGCCCCAACAAACACGTCGTGTAGGGATCTGGTGTATTTCTACCACTATATGATGCTTTTGAAGGCTGTCAGTCACTTGGTAACATAATACATTCTTTGTGAACCAATGTAGCCTTCAGTCAAGGGCTTTAACGTAAATAATAACAGTGATTAATACTAAACTTATAACTGGTTAAAAACAAAACAATAATTGCAAGCCATTCACAAACAATGCCTGAAGCACAACTGATTTAGAAGGCCAGCATGGCCAGAGGTGCTGTACCTACCATTCCGACCATTTTGTTTCAAGGTATTTGCCGAAAGTTGAATGGCACTCCCATGGCCCGTGTTCTGGGGAAACTTCAGATCTTCCAGATTACCATCTGTGCTTAGTCTTGCAACTTCCAGCTCTGTTTGCAAGAGAGACCAACAGAAAGAAAAGTCACTAATGAAAATAATTACCTACACAATACTTGAAATTTAAAAAATGGTGTTCCAGACCATCTGAAAGTAGAGGAATCAAGTGACAAGGTTTCACACTAGACTCTTTCTTTCTAAATCTTTGCCCTGAAGAAGTTTCAGATTTAATTAAAAAATAAAAAATAAAAAATAAAAAATAAAAAATAAAAAATAAAATAAATCCAGTTCTCTGTGGAAGACAAAAGACAACTAGTTCTTGTAAAGAAGAACGTCAGGATATTAAGGACAATGGTTAAAATGAAAATCTGAAAATGCTAGTTCTTTGCCACTGGCAATTGGTACTTTCTGTAAATGTTATCAGTTCTTGGGATCTGTATTCAAAGAAAAAGAAAGAAGAGTTGTTCTCATTTTACATATGCACAGTGGGAATTCTGTGCTTTCCATCATGCTTGTTTTTTAATTAAAATCAACAATCAGCCAAATAAAGACACAAATTCGTATGAAATGAAACACAATTGCATTTTGATGAACCATCTCCCTGTGAAACAATACTCTCAGTGTGCTAGCACAGATTTTGCACTTGAAGCCAGGAGTAATAAAGGCAGTTTAGGTTCTCTTTTCCCATGGGATTTCAAGGACAGGGAGCTATCTTATTCCCTTAGGCTCTTTTGGAAAGACTTCTAAGTTCTTCACACCAATGGCCAAGACACTTTCAACACTGCTCTCCAGTTAATGTAGAGCCAAGACTGAAGTCAGGATTCACAACCCTTACTCTCCCTCTGGTGCTCCCAGTATCTATGGGCTCATTCTCTTACGGATATTGTCGGTGTTTTCACGGACAATGTCAGTCTTCAGCAGGTTATCAGCCAGCACGAAGGCACTGTCCTCCACAGTGTCAAGCAATTTGGTGGCTGCACGTTGCTGTTCACTTGCATTCAGGTCCCTCCAGGCATTCAGAGCCTGCGGCTGCAGGAGGTTGTTCACCGTTTCCACCATGGCCTGCAAAGGAGAGGAACTGAGTAAGAAACGGCTTGAGCAAACCTAGTGCACCTCTGAAACCTCTGACATACGCCCAGTTTTCTTCTCAACACACATAGGGACAGGACAGAATGTCATTCCCCACCCACTGGTGCAGCCTACAGTGAAGCTAGTCATCATTTACTGCATTAGATGAGAGTGGGAGGAAATCTTGATTTTACTTGATTTTCAGCTTCCATGACCATCAGCTCAGATTAAGAAGGAATTAAGAGTCAGGGACGGTGGAAGGGGGATGTGGAAATCCCTAAAGAAACATGCAGGAAAATATACTTCAAAAGCTATCTGTGAAGTAAGTTGCTGCTATCTGTGCAATAAGATTCAGAAGCCAGGCTGGGACACTCACGGAAGTTCTCTAGTATCCATCTGCAATGGCTACGCTCTTTCCAGAGCGTTTCCCACCACATAATCTCTAACAGGCACTGAGACACAGAAACAGTTAAGTTACATCCCTTCATCCAGAGAACAAGCAGGTGCCCATAGAGATGTAGATAAGACACTCCATTTCAAATGTCTCAATTTGGGAAAGAGTCAGCCATCCGGCAGGCCTGCCCCACAAAGAAACATTTCCACTGCCAGCTATCACTGACTGCAAAAACCAACCTTCCCTTTAAGATGAAGCTGCCACTCTTAATTTTCTGCAGGCTGAAAACATCAGGCATCAAACATAGGCATCAAACCCATAGTAGTGTTTTTCAAGACAGACAGTCCTGTGGGCTTTCTACATGCTGCAAGCCTAAAGGATACTCCGTGGGTCACTTTCATGGAAACACTTCAGTTTTTACTCCTGACTGTCTCTAAACCCACCCTCAAGATGATGTATGAATAGAGAGAGGATGCAGCATGGCTTGCTCTCTAGCAGAACCCTAAGGAAGAGAGTAACAATGGCAACACAAGGCACTGTGAATTTAGGGCAACCTGACTCCCCTTCACCAGTCATGGTCAGATACAAATGTGCAGAGGAAGAATAAAATCACACTGAACCAGAATAAAATTTTATTGTTGTATGCAGGTGACCTTCAGGAAGATTCAGCTACCGCAATGTCCACAGAAAAGTGAAGGCAGCTGAGCCTGCCACTCCTAGTGCTTTTGATTCCAGAAAAGACAATTAACGGAGACAATGTCATGAGCATCTTCATCCTAAACATCCTTCAGGTTTAAAAGTTTCTCATACGACTGCAGCTCCTATTGGAAGACTGAGCCAGAATTGGGCTACTCTGACACTAAAAAGCCCATACTTTCCAATTTAATTCATGACAAAATAATTCATTTGTTCTTATGCCAAATTCCTCCTTTACCTTAAGTAGATCTTCCCCTACCTGGAGCTACTGCCTTGGTTAAGAGGCATTTTTCCTGAGCCTCATAGCTTGGTTTCCAAAGGATAGAACAGCCAATGCTTCCACCACTGAAGCAAACTGAAATGGCTGAAAATCTCTTCCTCTATCACTACTGCAAAAAAATTTTTGCTGTGAAGCCTTTACAGTGCAAGACTGGGATCCCTTCCCCATTTGCTATTAAGTACAACTTATTAGCCATAAATCAATTTCTTAAATTGACTATTAAACACATATTCTTGAATAGTCTAAAAATCATCTTAACAAATGCGGTATGTATACAGGAAAAGATGGTTAACTTTAATTTAAAGAAATACTAAAAATCCATAGCAATTCAGCATGCTTTTCTGGTGTTTTAAAATCTTGAAGCCTGATTGCTGCAGCTCTTCATAAAATTCTGTGGTTTACTAAAGTAGCTTATCTCTTTGCAGACAGAAAGAAGGTGTTACTCTTTCACAGTGAGCAAAAACCTTGGCTATTTTGCTGCACAGGTTCTACACAACATGGTCTTTTCTTGCAAAGATCTTATATATTCCTGGAAAGCAGAATATTAGGATTTTTCTCCCCTTTCAATGTTACCATGCAGGCTACAATTTACCTTACATCCATTCAGCTCAGCTACTAATGTTGTTTTTAAATCTCTATTAAAACAACATGCTAGATACTTTTATCAATATCTGAATGGTGGGAATAGTCATTGCAGCAGATCTAGCTTCTGGCTCTGGATGGAAAGGTTATGTCTATTTGTCTAAACGTGAAACAGATGCCACGATATTTCTGTTATAGTGAAACACAAGCTGCAAAGATTTTTCCTCAGAAAAGTAATATATATATAATTTTTTTTTTTTAACAAATTATGTGTGCATACAAAGCCTGACAGAGAACCTCACATAGGCCTTATGTGCCACCTTCTCACTTATGTGCACAGTGTTTTGTGCTCTCCATCCAAGTAGCATCTTCAAGTGACAAGCCTGAAAGTAGCCACTTCATGTCACCCTGGATCCAGGGCCTGACTCTAAACCTCCAGAAGGATTTCCAAGGACTTCCGTTCAGGTCCCTAACACATATCTGAGCAAGTTGGTAGACTGTCATCATTGGCAATACATCCAAGATGAATTTAGTCCATTGCTTTTCCCATAGGGTCAATCCCCTCACCTGCCTCAGTGCATTAATCAAGTGCTCCCCACATTATATTTCTGAGTGCAGCACTTCATTATGGCTGAGTGCTGTGGGCTGAAGCCAAGGAGATGAGGTGCTAATGAAATGTTTGCATTTTGGACAGGAGCTGAGGTAGGTGTTTAAATGAAACAAAACAGCTGTTAAAGCAACAGTGTCTCTTGAGAAACAGATGCCAACTGGGAAAAGTTGAATAGGAGAAAGGGAACTGTGGGAAAACAGGCACATGGGACACAGACTGGCCTGCGTCTTTGCATTTTGCTGAGATTTAGGTTGATTTGCCACCAGATTCAACGACTTTGTGAACTGATGAAGCTCTAGCAAAGAAGCAACAGTGCCAGTCTCCCAGTAAAGCCCCTCAGATACAAGCAGGATTAGCCCTGACAAAGGACCTTTGAAATAAAGAAGGCATGAGATAGGTGCTCCTGGGAGCGGATGACTTGATAAGTGTTACCTGAGATTCTTGGTGACCTTGATGAAGGTGGGGATTTTCAAAGGGAGCTAAGGAAGTTCTGATCTAGTTCTGCACATCTACCTCACTGAAGACCTTGCCTCTTTCCCATTCTAAAGCTTTTCTGCTGCTCTAGTTTTCTTCTCTTCCAAACACAGCTCAACAGGGTGAGCAACTTTCGAGGGAACCATGGCATACTTGTGAGCTTCAGGCAAAACAAAAGTATGGGCTGCAGTATATGTCAATTTCCCCTCCAGGGAAAAAAAAACACAAAACCCAATGCCAAGGTTGCTGGGGTTCAAAGAATGAAGAGCACAAGTATGCACACACCCAGGGAGAAGTATAAAAGCAACAGAAATTACACTGAGGGAGACCTTGAGAAGTGTGAACAAATGCAGGAAGAAGAGCACTGCAGAATGGAGACAGGAAAGAAGACTTTCCATCCGTCTTTTTATCCTGGGATGTGTAGGTGTGGCTCTATGCTAAGATTTCAGGCTACCTATATGTTAAATACTAAACTCCCTAAACACAAACTTGTGAAGAACAAGCATCCTGGGTCAGATGAAAGGTCGAATGCGTCTAATACACTATCTCCAACGTGACTGCAATTGGACAAATCAAGTATAGAAGACAAAATCCATGGTGGAGAACTCTTTTATTATTAGTTATATAGCACCAAAGAGTGTAATTTCAACATAAATAAATGTTATAAACAGCAGAGGGAATTTTTTTTCCCCCCAAACAAGCACTTAGGGCTCGTGATTTTTCAATTTTGTCTTGAGGTGACAAAACAGAAACAAAATGTAAAACTTCCTTCTCAAACACTTATAAAACAGCATTAAAAGAAGTATTGTCGAAAGGTAAATAAGAGTCTTCAGTAACTATGCATTCCTAAAGGGGATCACGTATATCCCACTCATTTCCTTTGTGACAGCTGATTCATCCTGTAAAACTAAAGTTTGCTTTTCCACCTATTTTTATGTCCTGCCCCTCTAGAAATACTTGGCCAAAATACATGACTATGTGACACACAATTTAAACCTAGGAGGGAGGATATACTCAGTGATACCACACCCATTGGCTTATCTCTCATCATATCAAACCCCAAAGCATTACCCTTTGACAAAAATAGATTCTGTAATGTAAAATCTGTCTTTACATGGGAATTGAACCTGGAAATCACCTAAAGATGTTAGTCCTACTAATCTCGTTGTCAAATTTAGGACTGGAGCTCATTGTGCCATGTTGTTTAAGCACAGCAACCATAACCTTAGAAGAACAGCAGCCCTCTTCCAGTCAAGTCCTAAGGGTGCTCTGTTCTAAACCTTTATAGTTCTCTTTGTCCTCTTGCTGAGCAGCCAACAGAGGAAACAAAAAAAACAAGACACCAATGAACTGGTTGTTAGAGCACGTTTTCAAAGGTATGTGAGAAAATACCTCTTTATGCCAAATGAATACCAGCAGGCCCCTCAGGGAATACTGGCTGAGTCCCTCTGCAGAGTAATTTTCAAATTCACAGTTCATCCTTCTTTGTAATACAGCACCTCCTTAAGAACAGACTGAAAATGAACTATAAATTATTTTGCACGTAACTTATATCAAGGCCTCAACTCCTATAGCAGCTCTGGCATTAAAGCACCACTTTTGCAAAGACATCTCTAATTAAAAGAAATGCATTTTATAACTTTTAAAGCCCAATCTCACACTGCTAACACTTGTCTTCCTTGACCTGAAGGGAATGTTTGATGCAATGCACTTTCAAAAATTAGTACAGAAGGAGCTACGTCAACAAAGCTGTGCTTTGCACTGATATACTAAAGTCAGAACTGATGCATGAAACAAACACTGCTTGTAAAATTGCCCCTGTGCAAAAGCTGCTTGTTGGCATAGTTTGCTGAGAAAAGCCTTCTAATGCTTTCTTAGAACAGTGGTGCTAAGGCCACAGAGAGCAACCACAAAGTTACAGCCTTAGACTGCGGTGCTTTGTCTGAAGTTCTGGTCCT